CATGACATGTGGTTCACAGCAATGTATGTGTATGTTTGAATGTGGTCAGTAGGATACCATTGCACACTTGGTTTGTGGTTGCTGTAATTTCAACGCCGTGCGGGTTTGGGAAGTGGTTCACAATAACCTTAACTTCTCCCATTGGCGTTCGTAAACAAAACGTGGAAAATGAATGCCGGGTTAAGCAGAGGAGTTCTGAATCAGCTACAAGGCATTATTCACCAACTGTGAGGCATCCGTCAATAACCACAAAGGCATTATTCAAAATAGGAACTCATCCACAGCGACACAAAACAGGACAGTCTTCGTCCGTTTTCATCGCTTAAGACGCAGAGACTTGGTTCCCTTTCCATCTGCCTCCATCCATTCAGTTCTCGCCAGTTAATGAAATGCTCAGCACTACCGTGAAGTTGACGCAGATTATCTTTTAAGTGAGTTTCCTTTCAGAGCTCAACAAAACCAAGAGCAAACACAGGAGCTTCAAAGCAGCGCTCTCTGGAAAAGGCACACACACAGACACAGACACCTACACACACACACACAGACACACACACACAGACACACACACACACACAGACACCTACACACACACAGACACCTACACACACACACACACACACACACACACAGACACACACACACACACAGACACCTACACACACACACACACACACACAGACACACACACACACACAGACACCTACACACACACAGACACCTACACACACACACAGACACACACACACACACAGACACCTACACACACAGACACCTACACACACACACACAGACACACACACAGACAGACACAGACAGACACCTACACACACACAGACACCTACACACAGACACACAGACACACACACAGACACACACACACACACAGACACCTACACACAGACACACACACACAGACACCGACACACACACACAGACACCTACACACACACACAGACACACACACACAGACACTACACACACACACACACACACACAGACACCTACACACAGACACCTACACACACACAGACACCTACACACACACACACAGATACACAGACACACACACACAGACACCTACACACACACACACACACACACACACAGACACAGACACCTACACACACACACATCCACACACACCTACACACAGACACACACACACAGACACCTACACACACACACACAGACACACAGACACACAGAGACACACACACACACAGACACCTACACACAGACACACACAGAGATACAGACACCTACAGACACACACACACAGAGACACACAGACACAAATACACACATACACAGACACCTACAGACACACACAGAGACATAAATACACACATACAGACACCTGCAGACACATACACACACACTCACACAGATACCCGACCTGCAGTGATTTCAAGAGCAGAGGCCTCAAATTCAGAACAGGGTATGTAGGTATGTATGTATGTATGTGTGTATGTATGTATGTATGTATGTGTATGTATGTATGTGTGTGTGTGTATATGTATGTGTGTATGTGTGTGTGTCTATGTGTGTGTGTGTGTAGGCACATGTCCTCACCTCGACTTGATGATATCCTTGCCACTTCCAACACTTATTCTCTGAAGAAATTCATTGGGGGATGTTCAGTATTTACAGGAATGTTTCGTACAATGTCCCCCGCCCTGTAAATACTCTCAGGGGAATGTGTGTGTGTGTGTTTTTTTTAGAAGACCCAGTATTAGCTCTTTGGGTTGAAATGTTTAGTGAGGTAGTAAAGGTGTGAGGGTGGGGGAGGCTGATCAAAATATAGTCAGCCATCTACAATACATTGTAAACCTCCCACAAAAACCTTTTTAATATATATATATATATAAACACACACACACACACACAGAGAGAGATTTCTCCAGTTAATGAAATGACGACCACTCCGTAAATTTACAATCCGCAGTGAATGGATTTGTTGGACAAAAAGCCAAAGGATTTGCGTCAAAAAGGAGTTGCCAATGACTTGGGGCACAACTCGGATACCCCCACTTGTCCTCACTGTTGAGGTCCAGGAGCTCTGTCCTGTCAGGGGGTGGGGAGGGGGTCCCCTGAATACACACCTCCCACCCCCCCACCCCCCAACCCCTCTTTTCCTTCCTTCTTTGGAGGTGGTCCCTCGATATGGATCAACTTCCTTCCAACTTTCCTTTCCTGTGGGGGATTTTAGTTGTTAAAAGGGAAAAAAAACAGCGACATGTGTAGAGGGGGGGGGGGGGGGTAAAGTGACTGTGTGTGGGTTACACAGACCCACTGCTGAACACACACACACAGACACATATAGATAATAATTAATTACTACTAATAATAATAAACTTGTATTAAAAAGCTACTTGACCGAATACAATGTGTGTGTGTGTTTTTAATAAGCAAAACAAACTATTATTTAAGATATTTCATAAAACATCACTTTTAAAAATAAAAACTAAAATAAAAAGCGTTCATTTTTTTAAAAAACATTTCAAAATAAAAAAAATTGCGGATCAGCAAATTCTCAACCGCTTCAAATGGACTTTTTTGCTTTCAAAATAGAGGAAATTTTGCGGATCCGCAAATTTTCTTTTGCGAAGAAAAAAAAAGAAAAAGTGACGTCTCATGAAATATCTACTAATAAAGAGTGCGCTGCAGTTTCTCACAGGACTTTTAGGTTTTCTGTGCAAAATGCGATAGGCACGAAATGAGATGGTCTTTCCGGCACTAAAACGATGCAAACACAAACCTCTTCACCCCCCAAACCCCCACCAAAACCCCCCCACCCAACCACCGACCCCCCAACCGACCCCCCCACCAAACCCCCCTTTCCTGGAACCAGCAAAACCGGGAAACATTTGACAAAGGGAAGGAAGTCATTGGTTTCAATTACCCACCAACATGTTCCCAATTAATCCGCGAAAGCAGAGGAATAAAGAACACATCACCAAACCCCCCCCCAAACCCCACAAACTCACTCAATCTTAAAATAAACAATCCCACAGACCCCCGGTCGGCAGACCCCCGGTGTAGGGTATCTCTCACCTGTGAGCTCTGTTAATTCCAATCTCAGTTCATGTTAAAAACAAAGTAGAACTCTGATGGAAGTTTTCTTTCTCTAAAACAATCGAAAAATATTTCTACTTCTCTCTCTCTTCCTGGACGGTAAATACCGCCCGTTCCCTTTTATGAAATTACTGCACTTTACTACATTTGCATCGTATTAAATTACACTAAAATAAACCCCAAATAATAATAATAATAATAATAGTAGTAGTAGAAAAAAAGGATCAGGGTCAAACTCGGGCGGTGGAAATATTTTCCAACGTGTTTCAGTGCACCTTTTGAAATAAAGCGGTTTATCTGGTAATTAATGGGTGAGGAGGATAAACCGTTTCGTGTGATATGAAAGTCTGGAAAAGGCCACGGATATGTTGTGCGGGCAATATAGTTATTTACAGTGGTGGTGGGGCAGGGCGAGGACTACCCACATCGTGTCTTATTCACCTGTGTGGCCACCAACTACTTCTTCAGGTAAAGAGAAGAGAAGCCTTGGACCACAACACACAAAAAAAGGTTAAACTACATCCTCACCAAAATAATAATTAATCTACATACAGCTCCAGTCTTAATTTACTTGTAGAAAGGCTGACACGACTTGGAGGAGCCCCCTCGGGGGACCATCGCAGACACTGTCCAAAAGGACAATTAATTGGACAAAGATTCCTCTGAATATGGTTCACTGGAAACAAAGCCAATTCCAGTTGTCCTTCCATCAAGTTAATAGCCAGAAAATAAATACCATCGCCACCCGACAGAACGATGGAGATTTTCCTTATTTAACGGAATGGGATGTGGAGAACAAACAAACCGAGAGGAAATATAGCACCTTATTATTATATATAATAATATAAATATGTATATATGGCGGGACAGTGTCCGGGAGCCTCTGCCATGGACCACGGGAGGACCTGGAGTCTCGGGGAACTCTCATCCCACCTTTAGGAGCGACAACTTCAGAGGGATTGAAGGCGCACTTTGACGGTTGCCATTGAGAGAGAGGGAGAGAGAGAGAGAGAAGAGAGAGAGAGGGATGGAGGGATGGAGAGAGAGAGAGAGATGGGGTGATGGAGAGAGAGAAGAGAGAGAGGGATGGAGAGAGAGAGATGGAGGGATGGGAGAGAGAGAGATGGAGGGATGGAGAGAGAGAGAGATGGAGGGATGGAGAGAGAGAGAGATGGAGGGATGGAGAGAGAGGGATGGAGACAGAACGTGATCTGATGGGAGATTTAAACAAACCCCAAAAATCATTGTTTGTTTAAATTTTCCACCAGGGCGGGTTCTCCCTCTCCCTCCCTCCATCCCTCCATCCCTCTCCCCTCCCTCCCTCCCTCCACCCCCCTCCCTCCATCCCTCAATGTCGTCCTGAACCCAATGAGGAAAGCGAAGTGAGTCAACCTGGACCTGGGATTTCCCAGGGAACAGGGAGACCAGAGTGGAGACAAATGGGGAAAAACATTCCCTGAATGTGGGGGGGAGATTCCCAGGATATGTGTGGCTGAGGGGGGTAAATAGGGGGGAATACGGTCCCAGGATGTTTTGGGGGAATAAATAGGGGGAAATAAATGTGTGGTGTGTGGGGGGGGGGGGGGGGGGGTTAGGGGTTGGTTGGGCGGAGGGGAAGATACAATTCCCAAGATTGGGAGGGGACATGAGAGGGATATGGGAAATATACCGCAGGTATAATGGGGGGGAGGGGGGGGAGGAGGGGGGAGGGGGGGGAGGAGGGGGGATATTCTCAGGATGAGGTGGAGATAAATGGGAGCGCGATTTTACTGGTGGGGGCGGAATAAACGATGGGAAGAATAAATGCTCAGGATGGGGCTGAGTCGGGGGGGGAGTTTGTGAGGGGGTAATAATAGGGGGTAATACATTCCCTGTACAGAGTTAAATGGGGGGGAGAGAGGAGAGAAGCCGAGGGGGTAACTTACTGCGGGTGTCGCTCCTCTCGCGGGTACCGTCCACTCTCCCGTCGGGAAGGATCCTGAGGAAGTAGCCGCCGTTTTTGCAGTACAGTCTCTTGGGATCCTTGAAGGCTCCCGGTGGGAAGGGGTTGGGGTCGGACTCGGGCAGAGAGGGCAGAGTCCCTATAGCTCCGGCCGCTGCTCCAGCCGCCGCCATCCCTCTCCCTCCTCTCCTCTCCCCTCCCCGCGTGGGACAGGAGCAACGCGCTCTATAATGTCCCCTCTCTCTCTCTCTGTCTCTCTCTGTCTCTCTCTCTCCTTCTCCTGTCTTCTCCTCCTCTCTCCCTCTCCTCCTCTCCCAGTCGCCTCTCCTTTACTCTCACACTCCCTCCTTCCCCGCGTCCTCTCTTATCCCCTCATGTGGACCCGGACTGCACTTTGTTGGCACGGATTCCGCTCTCCTCCTCCCGCTCCCACTTTCGATTTCTTTTTTTTTGTGGTCCTTCCCCCCAAAGCGAAGCTCTCGCTCCCGGTGCCCTGTGTACCGATATAAATATACTATACTGTAATATTCCCGCCCCCCCCCGTCCCCCCGTCCCCCCCACCGACTCCCTGTGGGAAGCGCGAGGGTCTCTGCTTCTGCTTCGCTCCAACTGCGCTTTACGCCCAGGAACGGCTTTCCATCTGTTGCCTGAACTTCGCACAACTTTTCCTCCTCTCTCTCCCTAACTCTCTCCCCCTCTCTCTAACCCTCTCTCTCCCCCCCCCCCCAATTTCCCGGTTGGTGGCAATAACTGGAGAAGCCAATTGTCGGGAATCGCGTAAAATCCCTGAACCTGGACCGAGAGCTCAGCCCAAATCGCCCAGTGCGCAAGCGCCCAGCACACTGGGGGGGGGGGGGTTCCCAGAGGGAGAAGGAAAAGGGAGGGGGAGAGAGGGAGGGAGAGGGAGGGGGGAGGGGAGGGGAGGGAGGGGGTAGGGGGGAGGGGAGAGGGGAGGGAGGGAGAGGGGAGGGAGAGGGGAGGGAGAGAGGGGGTAGGGAGGGGAGAGGGAAGGGAGAGAGGAGAGAGGGAGGAGGGAGGGGAGAGAGGGAGGGGAGGGGAGAGAGGGGGAGGGAGGGGAGAGAGGAGGGAGGGAGGGGGAGAGGGAGGGAGGGGAGGGGAGGAGGGAGGGGGAGGGAAGGGAGAGAGGAGAGAGGGGGGAGAGGGAGGGAGGGGGGGAGAGGGGGGAGGGGAGGGAGGGGGGAGAGAGGAGGGAGGGGGAGAGAGGAGGGGGGGAGGGGAGGGAGGGGAGGGAGAGGGGAGGGGAGGGAGAGTTGGGGGTAGGGGAGAGAGGGGGGGAGGGGGAGGGAGGGGAGGGGGAGTTGGGGGTGGGGGGATTGCTGATTACAAAGGAATTTGTATTCACTTGTATCCCTTTTGTATGATCCGCACAAGATTTCTCCTCATTCAGATGTTCAACAAACACTTCGTTCCCATTCCCTCCCCTTCCCATTCCCCTCCCCCCCTCCCCTCCCCTTCCCATTCCTCCCTCCCTTCCCATTCCCTCCCCCCCTCCCCTCCCTTCCCATTCCCTCCCCCCTCCCCTCCCTTCCCATTCCCTCCCCCCCCTCCCCTCCCTTCCCATTCCCTCCCCCCTCCCCTCCCCTCACCAATACTGTGTATATCTATAGCACAGTGCATACAGGAGAGGAATCAGTGGGGAAGTGTCCACCAGTGAAACATATAGGAGCAATGGCAGCAAATGAGTCACAGCCAAACTGATGTCTTTCTAAATATTTATGCAGCGCTGCGCGGAATCGTTTTTGTTGAAGTTCTTGAAACACGATTTGGAATATGTGATCCCAAAGTGAACTGAGAAAGAGCATCTGTTAATAATAGAGAGAACACTGACCCTGACAGTCCAAGGCTTTCCCTCATTGTAACACTGGACTGGACCAACTTTCCTGCTGTGGGACAGGTCCCAATTGGCACAACTGATTCAGGCACCAAACCAGTGAGCAGTCTTCTGAAAACACCTTCCCCTTTCCATGGAGGTGAGGTGTGTTGTGTGTGTTTTTTTTTACCCACACACCACAATGAAGGACAAAGTTTTTACTAAATTTTCAGAAAAATGTCCGGCTTACAAATTCACGGAGTGGGAAGACTTTTGGAGTTCAAGGTTTACCTTCCAGGAGAGATCGGATGAAGTTGTGTTGTGCTTCGTTCCGGTCAAAGATAACCCGGAGGGGAAAAATGTCTGGAAATTCTTTGACGAGGTGTTACATGGCGACACGAAGTAAAGGAGAGAGAGTTTATTGGTCAAATATGTTGGACATTACACTCAATGTCACTTCATTCACTTTCCTTTACATCCTGTGGTAAAGTATTCTCTGGACACACGGCTTTAGATCTGGTTTCTGACATTTATCTCCAATACATGATATCAGAAACTTTGCATTACAAAACATGAACTCAGCCAAACTAAACAATATATCATTTCAATTCATCCTGAACTCAGCTGAGGGTCGGAATCGGGAAGGGTGGCGGACAATTGCACACAGCAGCGGCCCACAGACAGTTGTGGATTGAGGTACCAATTTTTTTTTTTTTAAAAAGGGAATTATTACTTCCAGAACAGCGATCCACCAATCAACTAACAAACAGGTTCCTACTTACTGCGAGGTAAACGGAGGCGTGTGGAGTAAGGAAACTTGTCCAATGCCTGGGAATCGCACCCAGGCCTTCTCGCTTGTGAGGCGAGTGCGCTAACCACTGAGCTACAGGACTCCACTAGTTACATATGTGATGATCTGGGTCTGTATTTAGTGATCTAGACTGAGTAAACCCAACATTACATCTCCCAGCAATTGATATTGCCAGGTGCTCGGGTTGTTTGGTCACCTGCCTGTTTGGACCTCGGGATTGGGGAGGGGTGGGGAAATAAAATGGATAAGAAGACGACAGGAGAGAAGAGGGAGAAAAATATGTTTTTATGGCAGGAAAAATACCCGAGTAACCTCAGGTTACTTAAATACTGTTTATACAAAAAAATCCAAAATACGTCTTTTGACAAATTATGCCTTTAGCCGTTAAATCAACACTTGGCTCCATTTCAGATGATGCGAGTTATGTACAGCATCAAAATAACATACAGTATTTACATAACAACCTTATCAAAGATGTTCATTAAGTACTACTTTGAAAAGACAATGGGGTTCTTTCTAGTGTCTTGGCCAACAAAGCTGGCGATTCACTTTATTACCTTGCTGGTGCAAATCCCTACTGTTGTATTTGCCTACAATACATTCATTGCACCTGATTGTATTACCTCGAAGTCCTTTGAGACGTATTGAGACGATAAAAAGAGAGAATGCAGCAGAGAATATCACAAGCCGGACTGAAACATAAGGAGGCTGCGAAGGATCTCGGAGGCAGAGCTTAATGGAAAGGAAACTGTGGTGGTTGCTGAAGGAATGGTTTGGAGAAAACAGGGCTACATCTGACCTTATTGAGAATGCCGGTGAATTCAGTGAGGTGCTACCACTCTGTTATTTCCAGCCAACTACAAAACATAGAGCCCAGAGTAGTAGTTTGTGGTGGTCTCCTAATGACCGTACAAGTGCAGATCGTATGACTGGCCATCTACCCAGAAACACCTGTACGAGTGGAACATGCCCAGTGCAATTAGCTGTATAGTTATTTTGTAAAAAAATATATATCTATGTGTCGTAATTTTGGTTTGGAGACTCAAGGAACCATTTACTGAGACAATTTCCAAATATAGGATCAGAGAGATTATCTACTGAAACTGTCAAGTGACCTGTCTTTCCTGTCACTGTAACACTAAACACTAGCTCATTATTACTGTATTTATAATTAAAGGATAAGACCAACGGTACTTGCCAATTTTTTTTACACACACAGTTAAGCACTTGTGGGACAAATCCTAACCTTGCAGCATTCCTTTGCCATTACTGGATGATTTTGGCTTTTTTAAATGAAAGTGTTAATATTTGTCAACGACAAAACATAGTCGAGTAGCAGTTTGTGGTAGTCTTCTAAAGATCCTGCAAGTGTAGATCTAATGACCGACCAAAAGCATCTGTACACCCGGAACATGCCCCATTGCAATTAATTCCTTTCACTCAACCTGCGTAGTTCTTTTGTAAAATATATCTCTGTCTTAATTTTGGCTTGGAGTCTAATTCACTGAGACAATTTCCAACTGGTACATCATGCATAAGAATGTAGGATCAGAGCGATTATCGAGTGAAACTGCCAACTGACTGGCCTTTCCTGCCACTGTAACACTGAACAATTGCTCATTATTACTGTATTTACAATTAAAGGATAAGAACAATGGCACTTTGCCAATACTTTTTTTTACACAGACAATTAGGCAATTGTGGGAAAACCCCCAAAACATGCAGCAGTCCTTTAGCATTACTGGATGATATTGATATTTAAATAAAAGTCTCATCATTAAAGTGTCCGGTTAAACATATTTAAACACAATATGCATTAAAAATTCCTTCCTGGTGAAAATTGTCCATCTTCACCACGGGTGTGTAAAGTAGCTGACAGGAGCAAGGACCAAGCTGGCAAATCAATGTCCTTTTTTACACTTAGTGAGGTTGAATCAGATGGTAGTACTACTACACATTTGGTATTAGATTTCACCGGCTACGAATAAACATGTGTTATTAATTGTTTGGAATACGCCCCCCCCTCCCACCCCCCACTTCCTCTTTTTTTTTATCATTGGGACCCATGGGGACAGGCTGGTAAATGAGACAAGACGTACAGTTGAATCATTGCCCGAATTATATCTTTTGTTGGGTGAAGAGGAGCATCCAACAGTGATTTCACAGTCTGCAGTTCTATCAGTGGAACATGACTTCAGCAGCCATGTAAGACACCATTCTTCTCAATTGCTTCAAATTGGATCTGCAAATTCAGGTCATTAATTTTTATGAGTCACTAATGTATAAAGAGTAGAACATTGTTGTGATATTCTTTGAAGCATTCCCTATGTTACACAAGTAATATTGCAAATTGTGCCCCCGATATTGTATTCGTATGCATATATAAAATGTTGCTGAGGTGTATACCTGTGAGAAGGAAAGTATTTCACACCACTTCTTGTTCAAGAGATATGGGGGTCTATAAAAGCCACAATATAAAACATATTTGAAGGACATTAAAATGCAATTGCCGTGTACAAATTGGCTTCTGCATTCACCTATATAATACCCAGTCACTATACTTTCCATTAAATCCTGTGAAATACTTTTAGATGTTCTCCCAACATGAAAGGAACTATATC